TTTCCACCCCCATCCAGCAAGCCAGAAACCCAAATCCAGGCATTACGGACATCATACTCTGGAGGGGGGGGGGGTAAGAGTCATCCAAAAACTTACCGAAGACCTACTATGAGCCTGGCACCCTGTTAGGCCCACAAGGCTCAAGGGAGCACTTGAGTTAATTCCTGAAAGGGGGTTTCTTTCATGTAGATGTGAGGGAAAGGGGAAGCAAGATTTTGCCAAGCGCCTAATGTGTGGCCAGATGCTTGTGGGCCTTTTTGGATATGACTGCGGCCTGGGGACCAGTGACAGTGCGTTGGCAGCAAAGTCCAACTCTGCTGGTTTAGACGCGGCAGGATTGCCCTGGGTAGGGACTGGGAATTCTGGAAGAATTAGGGTTAGACAAGCCGACTCACAGTGTCACCAAAGACGTGGATTCTTCTCGCTCTGTCCATGCTTGGGATGGGCTCCATCCTGAGGCTGGCTCTGCTGTGGTCAGAAGCAGCTTCTTTCTTCACAACTGATGTGGCAGGGGGAGGCTAACGCCTTCAGCAGACATTTCCTTCCAGCTTCTTGGCCAGACCAAGTTCTACGCCAATTGCCAATCAGGGGAATGGTGTCCTTAGACCAGCTGGGCCCGACCTTGACTACGTTCCTACACCTAACAGTTCCTACACCCCCTCAACTGCCCCCAAATGCTGCGGCAGCTCCATAGAGGAAAGATGCTGGGGTGTGCAGTGTAATGTCCACTGTCCATCTCCACGGGCTTGGAGGGGAAAGGACTTGCTCACAACCAGGTCTATCTGAAGTCCAGAGTGGATGCTCTTTTCACTTCACCGTGCTGCCTTCTGAGGCAAGACAAGGGAAGGAAAGGTTGGGAGTTGGATTTCAGGTGCCCCTTTGAGGTGATGGAGCTGCCGGAGGAAACTCTGGTTTATTTAAGAACCTGCCTCTCATGTCCCCCAGCCTTTCCCTTTTCTTCCAGATGGCCTCTGCATTCCACTGGGATTTGGGCCCCGGGCCTCATTTTGTAGGGATCAGCTCACAGCATCCCGAGGTCCTTTCAGTGTTTCATTAACAACTCCCTTCTGGCCGGAGCACATCTTCTGGATTTTGCTGAACAATGGCGAGTGTTACCAGGAGGTTTCAGGATATTTGGGATCAAGTTGCTTCCTGTTGCTCGGTGAGGAAGGGAATCCTAGGAAAGCTATTTGCAGAGACCCTGTGTGAGCAATAGTGTTGCCCTGTGGCATGGTGGGGCCATGGGAAGCAGTGGGGAAGGAGGGGGGCTGCTGGGGGCTGTAGGAACTGTTTGGGAACAAATCCCCCTCTCTTTTTTTTTATCCTATTTGAGTTCAAATCAGCCAGAGTCCAAAAGAGCTGATCCCCAGGTCATAAACGCTGGTGCCACTACATGGTCTCAAGTTTACGCCCGGTGCATCAGTCTTTATGACATATCTCATACGTCCACAGCTGGGGCAGATCCATGTGACAAGATGTGATTCCTGTGACCTAGATGAGGCTTCTGCACAAATGTTCCCTGGTAACGGTAACGGTACCCAGGGTGTGCCATGCGTGCGAAGGGGGTTAGGGAGGTGGTCATCCCAATGGGACTTCAGAGCAGAGCTTCCCCAGCCTCCCTGCTTGGAACCCGTGTCCTCACGGTATCCTGGAACACAGAAAGGGCTTAGTTTAAGGCCAGAAAAATTCTGGCAACATCACATATCATAGGGTCCTTCGGAGAGGACCTTACCGGCCCTCAGGACACCTCCTAGACACTGCTTAAGGCACTCCCTGTGCTTAGATGTCTTTGCCTGGGAAAGGCCCCTTTTCCTGCGCAGGGAGAAGGCGGCCCTATTAGTGTCCCATGGAGCCACACTGCCCCCTGCGGCCAAAACCGGCCAGGACGCCTAACAAGCCAGGGCCGAGGGTGTGCAAAGGGCCTGCCTCCCTGTAACCCCTGGAACAGTCAGTGCGCCCGGAGGCCCCGCCTCGACTTACCCTCCGGTGTCAGCCGTCCTCGTGGCCCCCTGCCCACCCCTCTCCGTTCCTGCATGCTTAGGCCGACGGCTTCCCACCCACCCCTCTCAGGCCCTGCGGCCCCCAGGCCTCCAGGCCTCCCAGGCCTCCCTAGACCCGGGGCCTGCACCCCCTCCAGGACACTGTCCACCTTCCGAGGCCCGAGCCCGGCCGCCTCTCCCTGCTCCCCCTGCACGCCCTGCACTAGTGGGGTGCCCAGAACACAGAGGGGAGCCTGCTGCCCCGGCTGCCCTGAGGCCCGGCCGCTCGCCCTCCCGGGAGCACAGAAACCGCCTTCGACGTGCGCTTCTGTGCTAAAGGGGATCAGACCCCAGAGCCCAGAGAGGCCCGCGGCGGGGAGGCTCCTCAGCACACCTGCTGCCACTCGGTCGATGGCAGGCGCCGTGGCTCGGCTCGCAGCGGGAGTCCCTCTCCACACTGGGGGGTTAGACTGGGGGGCCTGTGGTTTCAGAGAAAAGGACCCCGACCAGGAGTTTGGAGGCACCAGGTGGAAACAAGGCCAAGGGGGATTCTCGGGAACCTGGCGGTGGAGGAGGCGCCCTCGGGCGCTTGGTCGGTGGCCCAGGGCTGCCCCCGCCCGCTACCCTGCAGGCTCCCGGCCTGTCCCCCCCACCTTGTCCCAGCCCAGCAGCCCCTCTAGCAGGTCCAGGCCCTCCCTGCCTCTGCCCGCCTAATGTCTGTCCCCTCTGCCACGCGGGCAGGTTCTCCGTAAGTTGGTTAAAAACAGGAGCTCTGAGGGGGATCCCTGGGTGGCTGAGCGGTTTGGTGCTGACTTCCGCCCAGGGTATGATCCTGGAGGCCTGGGATCGAGTCCCACGTCGGGCTCCGGGCATGGAGCCTGCTTCTCCCTCTGCCTGTGTCTCTGCCTCTCTCTCTCTCTCTCTCTCTCTCTCTCTCTCTGGGTCTCTCATAAATAAATAAAATCTTAAAAAAAAAAAAACAAAAAACAAAACAGGAGCTCTGGATGCAAACTGGAGTTGGCGTCTCCACTCGGCCCCTCTCTAGCTGCACGATCCGCCACGGCGGTTGGGAGAGCCCGGCTCTGGCTAGCTGTGTGGCCGTGGCCACGCCACCTAACCTCTCTGTGCCTCGGCCTTGTCATCTGCAAGATAAAAGAGTGCTTTATGTGTCATGCTTTACACGGATGTGGTGGGGATTCCACGGGGTAATAAAGGTCAGGTCCCGGCAGGTGGCAAGTGTCTAACACACATCAGCTAGGTAGAGGGGACACACCCGCTCCCGGCACTGCCTTCCAGGGGCAGTCCCTCCTGCTGCGCCACCTCCCACTGGAGCAGCTGGGTCCCATCCTCTCCTTGCTCCAAGCTTTTCCGGCACAGACGGCAGGGCCCGGATTCGCTCCTGAGGTGCCGACTTCCGTGAGCGCACTCCCCACTTTGATCATGCGTTCTCGGGGGTCAGAAACTCTCTTCTCATCTTCCTGCAGAGCGATTCATCTGATGACAATTCTTTTTTAAGATTTTACTTATTTATTCATGAGAGACACACACAGAGAGGCAGAGGCACAGGCAGAGGGAGAAGCCGGCTCCATGCAGGGAGCCCGATGTTGGACTCGATGCCGGGACCCTGGGATCATGCCTGGGCCAAAGACAGGCGTGCAACCAGTCACCCAGGTGCTCCCACCTGATGACGATTCTAAGGGCTCCAGCCTGACACAGGGCCCCTTGGGCACACTCCGGGCCGCCTTTCTCTCTGTGCCATACACCCCAAGCCCTGACCACACTGCCTTCCTCCGTTCCCCTAAGCAATCCACTCTTCATAAGCCAGGCCTCTGCACGGGGTGGCCCCTTGGGCTGACATGCTAACTCCCGTGTCTTCTCTGCCGGAAACACTCCTGTACTCCTGGCCGTTAGGAGTTGGGCCAAATCCCCTCTTGACGAGGGCTTGTTCCAACGCCAGGGCTCTGCCCTCTTTGCTCAGGGCCCTGGCTCAAGTGTTTGCGACCTTCTCCAAGGTCCCCAGTGTCCTGCACAAGGCAGGTGATGGGTACTTTGTGGGTCCATCTGATTTAGCTGCACAGAGGACATGAAATCCCAGAGACAGATTCCAGTCCCTCACCTGCCCCTTCCATGCCTTGCTGTAGCCTGGTTTGCCCCTCTGCAAAATGGCCATGCCACCTTCCCTGTGGCCCTTGAGGAAGCTGTGCGCTCAGCCCCTGCAGGCCCAGGGGGCCCCCACGAATGAACGCTCACTCCCCTCCCTCCTAGACTGCACCTCAGCCTTCCCACCTTCATGTTGGCAGGAAGCAGTCCCATTCCCATTTTTGTCAAGAGAGAAAAAAAAAATCACTAATTTGCTTTGAGATCCTACATCACCATTTTAAGAGAAAATAATCCTTAGTTGTGACACACACCAGTGACACTCCCCGTCGCCATGGTGATTCTTTGACATGGCCCTCTTGCAGATGAGAAATGCCTTGCAGTTTTCTGAGCCTGGCTTCCCCAAACCAGGATGCTGGCCAGTCTGCACCCCCTCTCTACAGGAAGGAGAAAGCGTAATCCCTGCAGGTTGCATTTCTGCCTTGGCTGTCAGAGGTGGGGTCAGGCCCCGACAGGGCCGGAGAGCAGCATACGAACCCTGTGCTTAGCTGTGCAACCTTCCAGCTAGGTAACGCCCATGGTCAACAAGCCCCAAACTCCTGATGACAATTCCAAGAGCTCCACTCCAGCCTGACACAGGGACTGCCGTGCTGTGCTCCTGGCCGCTCTCCTCTCCGTGCCATGGAAGCCTTTCTTCCTACTTATGGCCTATTTCTCTGATTTTCTCTGGAGTCAGCAAAGCTATAAGGAATACAGCGGTCCTTGCGGCTTCACTTCGGTAACGTGCGCCCGCACACACTTCCTCTGGCACCAGTCAGGTTAAGCTCAAGGTGGGGTTTCTTTCCCGTGACAAAAACACATTCTGCTGCCTCCTCCCCCCTCCCTGCCTTCCTCCCACTACCATGAGACTTTCACACAGGTTCATTCCTTTAAAAGTTTATTTCTGGTGAATTAAAAAAAAATAATTTATGCGATCAGATCAATAAAGACATTATGACATGGGGCAGAGCTTAACTTTCCTGTTTGCTTCTACATTTTGTAGCCAGGTGAGAAGGTGGCCGAGGGAAACCCAGCCTCGTGCTCTGTGGACCCAGGAGATGCCAACGCTGACAGGGTGACTGAGACACTGGTGGCTTACGGGGGTGCTGGAAGGCCACGGCCCACCCAAACTCTTTTACAGAAATGTCTCTTTATCACGTTTTTAAAAATGAGTCAACAGAAGCTCTGTCACATGCCCGTTCCCAATGACCATAAACATACCAAGAAGATGCTCAGAAAGATGGAGCTGTAGTCTCAGGGACTTTTAAATGTCATACTTGGGGGGGCCCTGTGGGTGAAAGACACCTTCCCCCCGAGGCCACCACCCTGAAGAGACCTTGGGGAGTTGGAACTGAGCCCCTGGCACAGCTGTCAGGATCTCTGGGTTTCTGAATGCTACTGCCTCTTAGCTTGAAGGATGTGTTTACCCTCAGCTCCTTGGTACCCCGAAGAGTCTCAGAGGTGGCTACTCCCTTGGTCAGCAGAGGGGACACTTCCTCCAGGAATCTGAGAGCTGAATGTGCTCATAGTCTGTGCTGGGGTCTCAAGGCCAGAACCCCCAAAGGCCCTGCCACAGTCCAGAACCTCAGAGCTGGGGGAGTTGTAGGGGCTCACTGTTGAGGAGAACCCCTAGTCCCCCAGGAGTAGAGACCAGAGCCGGCTCACCACCATTGCCCTGCCCAGGGATCACTTTGGTGGTGGGGTTCACTCTCTTGGGGGGTGGTGAATTTTGGTATTAACACATTGATAAATTAGGAACGGGCTTTGGTTACTAGAAACTCACGGACCGATGAAACACCCAAGCAGCACACTGGGAGATCCCGGAGGAGCCCAAAGAGTTTGCCGTGATAAAGCATTTGCTGTGGTTCAGGTGGCTTCTCTGCAGGTGGCCTGAGGGTCCCTGACACCCGACTACATAGCTGCCCAGGACTCAGGACACCGCTCACGCCAACCACCATCGCCACACCTGCTGGGACACCGGCAGAGTTTGAACAAGGGCTGGTCCTTAACTGAATGTGGCTTTAAGCATCCTTACCCAAAGCTCTTTAAAGGGCAGCACCAAGCAAAACCTAGGCTCCCACATCACTGAGAGCGGTTCTGAAGTCAGTTCAGGTTCCTTTCTTGACCTTTCAAGAGAGAAGCTTCTAAGCACGAAGATCAGCTGAAGGCTTTGAAGCCCAGTGATGGTTCCCCTCAGGCAGCCCACACCTGCTTTTCCTTCACATGGAGAGAAGCGTTACTATGCTCCAGGCCTGGGATCATTTTTACCTGAAACCATCTCCTCGTTAGACGCTGAATGAAAGCTCACACCCCAAATGCAACTCCTATCTGCATGATCTCCCTTTGAAGAAGAGCCAGCAGCCCCCTTGATGCCATCTGGGGTCACATGCCTATTAAATAACGCTCAAAGTACAGTTCTCAACCAATTTATGACATGAGAAAAGACCAAGGCAGCCACGAGGCCATTCACATACATGTATGCAGTGTGGACAAGGAAAGGAATAGAGAAAAAACCAGCCTCATGCCCAGTGAGAACTGGGAACCGACTTCCCCCAGCTCCTAGCAGCAGAACACTCGAGACAGGAGCATATGTACATAGGTCCTACAAAAATAAACTTTGTTCTATGCCTGCTCTCTCAAGTCATCAAGGACAGGCCTCTCCTCTGGCCTGTCTTGGTAGGTTTTGCTGTGTCAAGTGCGGTAGGAGTTTTCAACCACTCCGAGGCAGGGAGAGAGAACTCATTGCCTGAACCTGCCCGGCTCCCGGGATGCCAGGATGGGACAGGGGACATGGGCAAGGGGAGAAGCAACCTCATAGTCTGGAAGAGAATACACAGTGAGGGTGGGCCACAGGGAAGGGGGGCTCCCCAGGTGCTGCTACATGAGGCTATTAGCACAACTTGACTCTGAGCCTTCAGGTCTGATAAACAGCCTCAGAAGGCACCCTGTGCCCGTCCATCCATGGAGCCCTCAGTTTTTATCTCAGGGCAGGTATGAAGAGTTGTACTAGCTACCCTCGGGGAGAGCCGAGAGTGTGCTGGCATTTCCAAGAGGCCAGGGCTCTGTGGCTCCCTCCTCTTCAGAGTTGGTGCCTCCACCTCCCCCCACCATCCCCTACATACTCTTCCCACTTGCTTTTTATTTGCACTATATATCCTCTAACTGCCTGTTTATCTGGAAAAACATCTCTATGTGTAGCAGTTACAAGTCTCTCATAAATATGGGATGCTGTACTAAGTTTAATGAGATTTTAAAACTACAACATGGGCTAGAGTCTCCCACAGCAGCACCATGGGGCGAGGCCTAAAAGAAGTGGTGCCTTTTGAGGACCAAAGCATCCACTTTTACCCTGGGTGGAATCCTGAAGCCATTCTGTGGATGAGAAAGGAGATGTGACACCACGTCACTGCAGAGCAGGAGGAGGATGGCTGTCTTCAAAACCCATGTACCTCCATTACCACTGTCTTCCCCTCATGAATTCTTTCCAAATCACTGGCTACCTGGCATTAGGACCTATTCCACCAGTCATTCATCCTTCATGTACTGTCTTGATTAAAGGCTCAGATTAAAGGTAAATTCAAGGTCTTACCATGCCCTTAAAAAGGGGGAGGGGCTCTGAAAGGAAAAATTAAATCTAGGAAGTGTGGCATCCAGAAGACAGACTCTGGAAACACCACGTGCCTTTACTCATAAAACACAAGAGTCAGCAAAACTATCTTGTTAAAGATTCATATTGATTGTAGGATGCATCTAGATTTTAAGAGTATCAAGACACAGAAAAAAATGTCCATCTTGGGATGCAGGACAGGTGACAGATTTTGAAACAGATGCCTTGAAAGCTAACCATTTTGAGAGCAGAGGAGCCAATGTAGGACCAGGAAGGTGGAGACACCAGGGAATTGCTTTATTCTAGTTGAGTCCCCACCTCGAATGCTTAGAAGGGGGGTGTTGTGCAAAGGGTCACCTGGAGGATGTGGGTTTGTGTGGGTGAATTTGTATGAACTGAAACAGCTCTGCAGAGTAAGGAGCCCACACATTTTATTACCACCCCTGCTTACCAAGCCCTGGCAGTCCCCCATACTTCTGCCCTTTGGATTATGGAGGAAAAAATAAATGTTCGTTTTTTTTGGGCCACAGAATACAAGATGGGTCTAGATTGTACAAGGAGCTTACACACGGAGGCAAGAAAGCGTGCAAATGGGAGTAGGAATTCTCTACCCTCTGGGTGAGCCAGTGCTAGAGACACAGAAGGACCCGAGTTGTCCTCCTGGAGTCCACACTGGTTTATGCTTCTGGCTTTTATTAACCGTGTCCAACTCCAGCTTCCATCTTCTCCTGAGAGGGAGGATAATATCTAGGATGTCAACAATTTTCCCAAAGCCATTATTTTTTTCCTCTTATAATTTCCCAGAAGGCCCAGGAGGGGGGGCCTAGAGAAAGACCAACAAAAACAAAAGTGTCTGAGAACGACGTAATACTGACTTCTCTTTTTTGGTAACAGTTCACGAAACGTGCGCCCCTCTCTCCTGAGATCCAGTGAGGCATGAGGGGAGGTGGCGAAGGAGCTGTGGGTGGGACACTGTACCGTGTGACATCACGATCATGCAGCCGGTGCCCTACAGGACAGAGACGTGAGTGAGCACGCAGGGCTCTGGGTTGGCCCCAGGGGGAGGCGGGCAGTTTCCAGGTAAGTGCCCAGTGTCTCAGGAACACTGTTTGGCCAGTTCTCGCAGAGCCATCCCCTAGGGCACACCATCTTGGCTCTGGCCTTAGCCTTCATCCTCCCTCAGCTCAGTGGGTAGGAATTTATACTGCTGTTGGCGGATCTGGGCCAGTTTTTTCCTTGCTTCTTCCAGTTCTCGTTCTTTTTTCAACATTTCCTCCTGGGCAGCAATGATCTAGAAGGAAAGCAACAAGTTGGATGGATCTAAAAACTTTCAGGAAACCACCCTCTCCAACTCCACTGCTTGTCTCATGAACACCCAGTGCCTCTGTGATAGGACATCACAGCCATACACCGGGACTAAGTATCCTAGCTCTGGAGACCAGCATTTGGGCCATACTCTGGGTTTTGAGACCAATGACCCAGTTGACCCATGAAAATAAGCTGACTTCTGGCCACTGATTTAACAGCAAACATCTACTGCATCCCTACTATGCCCCAGGCGCTGGTGTAAGCGCTCTGCGTGGAGTGTTCCATCATCTTTGTAGCAGCACAGTGAAGTTGTTCCTATTGCATGTCCTATTTTGCCAATGAGGACCCTGGAGCTGAGAGAGGTGGGTCTACTTCCCTGAACATCCACTTAGTGGAGCAGGACCTGTCCAAGTGTTCTTGAAGCTAGAGTTGGAGTCCTTAGCCACTTGATAGCTTTCATGTTTTTGTTTCATGCTTCTAAGATATAAGCTGAGGAATATTAGTGAATAGATATCAGGTGAAAAAGATAAGTTTGTGCTCAAGAAAGCCAAATGGATTTCTTTCTTGTGGAACCTTTCAGAGCCTTCACTAGGCTATCACTGTGATAGTCTGAGGTGGAGGTATAGAGGGCAGGATCTCTCACACTTATTTGATCAGTGACCCTTGTCATAGAACTTCTTATGGAGCTACTGTATCAAGAAATAGATCCCAGTAAAAATGTATCCAGTAAATTTCCAAACACAGGGAATGGCTCAGGAAGAGCTAAGGAAGGCAGGGGATGAGTAACTTCCTGGCACTGGTAAGAAAACCAATCTTGTATAACGGATTTATAACAACACATATCCCAAACTGCAGCCCTGATCCCCTGAAGTTTGCTCTTCACTGCCGTGCACAAGAATGGAATCCTGCATAAGTCAGAAGCCTGTCTCCTCTTCTATTAAGTTCTGTTAAGGGGTTACTATTCATTCTCTCTATAGGGCCAATTATCATTTTATTTAAATGATAATACTACTGCCTTCTAATTTCTCTTCTTCCTTTTTCTATAACAGAATCCCTGATTTGGGCAAGGTACAGGGCTCCTCAGGAAAGAAAACTATATTTCCCAGCATCTTTTGCAGCTGGGTTGGTTGGCCACGTGATGAAGGCCTGACGAACGGTCTGTGAGAGGAAGCAAAGGTGGATATTGAGCCATCTTGGACCAACTGGCCAAATCAGTATCTTGGGGATGGTGGGGCAATAAGGCAGATGGGAGCCTGGGGCTCAGAAACAAAGGAACCAACACATCAGCCACAGGCTGCTCACACCCCGGCTGTTTCACCAAAGAGAAATACACTTCCATCCTGTCACAGTCATTGTTACTTTGTGTCTCTGTTATAACAATTCCCATGTCCGGAGTAACACTGTCTGGATTTCTTCACAAACCTGAGCAATGCCCCCTACAAACTTTGTTTTCACTACAACATCGTCATCATCGGCTTTGCCAAATGCTGCCTTCTGGGCTGCACGAACGAGATTATCTGAAGCTCTTTTCACAGCATTTCCTGCTGCCTGGAGAGGGGGGAAAAACATACATTATATCATTAGAAACAGCCAACTTGGATTCAGCAGGAATAGACACGAAAGCACAGTTCATGGAACTCTGAATCGATTTGTCATCCAATTATAACACAGCATTTCTCTTTCATTAGTATCCGGTATCTGTCTTTCCAGCGGTCCATCGACTGTACCAACACTGGCACTACCTAACCTTCGGTCATTCACACAGAAATGAGACAGAGTTCCCGGCTCCCAAGGAACACATACTTCTGAGGGGGAATTATACTTATGTAAACAAATGACTATAGCAATGTGAAATGCCTGTTAACAGAAGCACGGCCAGGGCTTGTCTCTTTGGTCTACAACACTACTCCCCACCCTCAGCCCCATCCAATTTAGACAAACTCACTGGCTCACACAGCACTCTGTCCTTCTGCCTTGGCCTTACCCACACCTCCCCACAATGCTCTGCGCTGCCTTCACTGTGGCCCCTCCCACACTTGTGGTTGTCCTTCTTCCTTCTGGACAGTGAGTAAGTAGGATGCAGTGGCTGTGACTTTTGTCCTTCTATCTCTAGCACCTGGTGCAGTGGGTGCCCAGGCCTGGTGCTCGCTGAATGCTTCTTGAGGGAATTAAGGGTAAGAAAGCACAACCACACTCTGCATGGGAAGGTGGGGAGCCCCACAGTAACTTGGGCCTCTACAGGTGTATTTTCTGAGTCACAGCTGAACTTGATGCCAAATGCTTAAGGAGGGGAAATTGCTAGAGACGGGAAAAGAAAAGCTTTTCGGGAACGCCTGGGTGGCTCGGTGGCTGAGCGCCTGCCTTCGGCTCAGGGCATGATCCTGGAGTCTCAGGATTGAGTCCTGCATCGGGCTCCCTGCATGGAGCCTGCTTCTCCCTCTGCCTGTGTCTCTGCCTCTCTCTCTCTCTCTCTCTCGAATAAATAAAACTTTTTCTTTTTTTTTTTTTAAAAAAAGGAAGAAGAAAAGCTTTTCAATGTCAAGTCGAGATCTTTCATAAGGGCTATTGCCCACACTGACTTAATGCTCAGGAAGCACAGGCTGGGGACCTGTCCTCGGCCCCCTGACATCTGGCATTTTCTTCTACTGGTGGTCAAGGCTTCATGAAGCCTCCCATATTACTTCCCCAGGCCCCCTCAGAGTCAAGGACTTGTGCATGGGGATTAGCCATCAGAAAGTTGAGTTTTTCTCAAAGTGACTAGTTCATCTGGTGGGTGATCTAAAGTGACTAATGGGAACTATGAGGGCTTGCATGGGAAGGGAATGCCAATTATTATATGACAAGTTCATTCTCAAAATAGCTTTATGAGGTCAGGGGTCACCACTGCACTTTCCTAATGCAGAAATCAGGGCTGAGTAACTTCTTTGAGACCCTGTAGCTCGTACGTTACAGAGCTGGGATTTGAACACAGATTGAGCTAGCCCCAGAGAACCTCTGGGTCATTGCAAGGGACTCAGACGCGATACTGCAGCATCTAGTTACATCAGGAATGATCACAAAGAGAGTGATGCTGTGCTATGACCATGTAAGTCCTTAGAGTTCGTACAAGCATGATCATATCTCTTGACTTTGATAAGAGCTATGTGGATATCTCTATCCTTATTCTATAGCCAAGGCAAGTGAAGGCCTGGAAATTTTTGAATAATCTGTGTTAAGATCATTCACTTAATATATGGCAGGGGCAGGACTTGAACCTGGGTCTCTTTTAACTCAGGATGTTTCCCCCAGAAGTGTTCCTCAAATCCTATATTCACCAACATGCAGCCCCGTTTCCCCCCGGGTCTATCCCAGAGTCAAATGAAGGTAAGGGCAGTGGGTGAGAGTGACTCAGGAGGACCGAGAAAGAGAAACACACTTTAGGACTTTCAAAATGAAACAGAAGTTCCAAGTGTTGATGAAATTGTTCAAATATCTCTGTCATTTATGATTTTATTCATGGCATTTAAACATTTTTTTCAGTCACATAAACAGTCTGCATTCTAACACTCATAATATCTAAGAAATCTAGAAAATTGGAAACAAATTATCCAATGTATAAGAAAATTCTGGCATAATCATGTGATGTAATATCATGCAATCATTCAAAATGAGACTCATGAAGAATGGACCAGTTAGCTTTGCATAGAGAAATTATGAAGCCTTTTATTCAAGTAAAAAGGTGTGTATGATAAAATGTTAAGTGGGAAAAAAAGCAGATGTCTCTTGCTATGATGCCAAGTAGACAGTTATTTTGTGTAGAAATAAAAACAGGAAGAGAAAAAAATGGTACCATTTGACACGTTGAGGAGGTTGAGGCTATGTGATTTTTTTCATACAAACCTTTCCTTCAATGTGTTTAAAATGCTTCTATAATTAAAACAATCAGGAAAACATATGTGCTGGGAGGGATTTGATTATAACCTTCGTCATGATCATGTTCTTTGGGCTCTGGGAAACGTCTTAGTCTTATAGGAATTCCTCAGTCCTTCCTTTCCTCTCCTCTCTTTTGCAAACAGTGGATGAGGGACCATCTCAGTGTGAGAGATACGCAGATAAAGATGTGGTGCTTGTACCTGAGAGGTTCACAGTCTTGTCAAAGACTGATCTAAAAATAAATGTGGTGGTACCAGGTGAAAGTAGCCATAAGAGTGGAGTGGTACTCTGTAGGAGTCTGGGAGGGCTTCCCAGAAGAGGGGACTCTGGAGATGAGTCCCAAAGAATGAGTAGATCACCAGGTGGGGCTGGTGGTGAGGGCCAGGACATTCTGGGGTGAGTGAGGGCCCCAAGGCATGAGACCAGAAGGCAGACATGGAGAATGTTCGGTTGCTGGGGCAGCAGGTGTGAGATGCACAGCTGTATGGGGTAGAAGATGAGAAAAGTGGGACAGAGTGGGCTGATGGAAGGCCTGGTGGGTCATGCCAAGGAAGTGAGACTGTCCCCTTTGGCGACACTTACCCGCTCCAACAGGAGTATTTTCCCACCAGCATCAGTGACCATTACCTGTAGCCGCCTCATGGCCTCTGAATCCTGGTCGGCCTTCACCTTGCAGGCCACGAGCAGCTGAGCCGTGGAGGCAGCGACCTGCTTGGCGGATGAGATGAGCTTCTCCTCACTGGCATGTCCCTGCACTGAGGCATTAGCCGCCTCGCAGAGATTGCTGGTTGCAGCTGCCACCATCCGGGCCTGCAAACAGTTGATGGAGAAGTGACCCCAGGCCCACACTTCCCTCAGGGGATCCAAAACCCAAACGGGAAGGATAGAGGAAGAGGTGACTTACGGCAGAAATCAGTCCCTGGGACCACTGTCCGTCATCCGCAGCATTGGCAGGGATGGAACCCACCTAGAGAGTGGAGTGTAGAAATCTAAATTGAGAGCTGGAAGGTGCAGAGGGTGGACCTGCAGCCCCTCAGCCTCTACCTCACTCTGGAACTAGAGAGAAAAACACCTCATCAGACACGCAGCACCACCAGCATGAGAATGGAACAGCTTTCTTGCACAGGATGCTGCCACTCCGAGACTGTGCCAGCACATCCTGGCTGGGCTCCCTCTGGGCCCAGGGGACTTAATCTGAAACGCTCAGAATGGTCTCCATTTAGTTGCTAGGTATTGTGTTTCTGGGAAAACTGCTCAGGAATGATGGAGTGGGGCTGTCCTCCCATGCTTATTTCCTCTGCCGACCTTTCTCTGGTTCAAACACAGGAGCCATAGAGGCTTCTGCTTTCAAGGGCCAAGGGAAACTTGCATCTCTGCAGATTACTGATCCTAAAGCCATGCTGTGACTTCATGGCAGATGAGGAAAAAAAAAAAAAAAAAAAAAAAGGAAAGCTGGTGCCTTTCCTTCAGTGCAAGTGATGGCCGACCCTTGCCTTAAGAAAATAACAGACTATTTGGCCAGGGGGTGGGGAGAGAAGTAGGAAGCTGGGTGTAAGATGAGCTCTGTTTCTGTCTAGAAATTATAGCAACAAGTGAAACATTTTCTGTCCAGATGCAAGAGGGAATGGCTTTGGGAGGGAAAACCTTTTTTTTTTTTTTTTTTAACATGGTGGGAGGTGCCTGGAGAGATCAGAGAGGAGTACTTCAACTTGACTATGAAATTAGGTGTCAGCAATTATTACCTCTTACATATATATTTTTAAAAGATTTTTACTTATTTATCTGAGAGAGAGAAAGCGAGCACAAGTATGGGAAGGACAGAGGGAGTGGGAGAAGCAGACTCCCCCGTTGAGCACGGAGATGATGTGGGATGAGACCCCAGGACCCCGAGATCATGACCTGAGCCAAAGGTAGACTGCTCAACCGACTGAGCCCCCCAGGCACTCTTCAATGCTTGAATATATTCCACACATGCTTGACCAAATTAAATTATCTCAGTACCTAGCAATTTGGCACAGAGTCGGCCCTTTATCAAGAGACTGAAATTTTTAGGTAGGATATTCTTCTTAAGGATCCATTTTTAGGCTTTACATATTGATGAGTCGACAAGTACTTAAATAATAAGCTCCATGCTCTGCTACATCCATAGGGCGTAAGTGAAAAGCACAAAGGGACGGACTGCACGTCAGCGGAGAGACAGGAATACATATGTTAATAATGAACAATATAATACATGATGGTTTAGAAGGAGGAGCCCAAGTATGTGGGTTGGATCAAGACAAGGTTTAGCTCACAAGAGACTTCACAGAGGAATATACATGGCCACTCGTTGGGCAGAACTGTCTGTATTACAAGTTCTTAGGTCAAGGCACGATCCTATTTGTCCACCTGTATACTGACAGCAAAGGCCTTTTAATATCAAACAGAAGTGACTGACAATTATGGTGACCCAACTCCCCAGACCCACAGATTTCTGCAGTGCCTCTCAATCTGATAGTCTCTCTGCAAGAGGCAATATGGATGGGGTCCTTCTGTGGCATATGGGAACAACACGTGGAATATTTTAGACCGCAAGACCCTTCCGTATGCAGTATTAGTTTAATATACTAATGAATCCTTTGGGTCACTGAAAAAGAACTATGCTTTCATGCTAATGCAGATGGAATAGGTGACTGGGGAGGAGGCAGATCAGAGATCTCAGATTTAAAACCCGACTGGCCTTCTGATCAATGGGCTCAGGAAAATGCTAACTGCAGAGTTAGATGGCATTTTGCTCAACAGTCCTAACAAACGGATCGAGCCATTGGAGTTGGAAAACTGTACCATGAAGCCCTTGACAATGGTGCTTCTGTAGTCATGTAGTCATCCACTAGGAAAATATGACAGTTTACATCTCTAAATAGCTTAACATACAGCGGGAATAGAAATGTCTTGTTCAGGCCCTGATCACTGCCTGGAACAGGATGCTTTCCTTAACAAGAAGCAGATCAGAGTCCCAGAAGCCAAACCCTTCATTTTGGCTGTCAGGTTTAAGCTAACAGAGTTTTCAGTCAGATGGGGCAGCAATGGGCAAGTCAGTGAGGGAAGGCCCAGCACTGGTTTCCGCAGGTCAGGCCACAAGCCTCCACATCTTTTCCTCGGCCCTCAGAGGCTCTCACTGTGTGAACATTCCAGCACCTGGCCCGCGAGGTTTACCCACCTTTCCTTGGGCCACCAGCTCCCTCTGGGCTGCCGAGGCCGATTTGACCAGGGCACTTGTGGCAGCAGCAATGGATTTAGCAGCTTCCAAAATCTGTTCTTCAAAATCCAGGGTCTCATCTGCTTGCTATAACAGAAGAAAATGATGTCACATGCCATTCACATCCACGAAGGGTGCTTTTGCCAAACTACTTACTGCTTGGTCACCTGGCTCTTCATCCGTTATGACTTTTATGCTGACAAACCACACCCAGGGTAGAGAGGCCTAAGCTGGCAAAATGATTCTCCATCTGCTGCCTCCCACTACCTCGATTCTAAAAGGTACAAGCTGCTAGCAATGACAATTCTACACAAATTTCAAATCAGGAAATTCTAAGACAGACTATTTTTCCAAAGCAGAATCTTTACACAGACAATTTAAATTCACTGTGAATAAAATATGCTCAAATATGTCCCATTAACATCAATAACCAAAATTTAAATAATCAATAATTAAAATCCAAAGAGTGGGTGGTGATACACTCTTCCAAGAGCTTAACTCCAAAATGGGTTGAAGAAAGAAAAAAGTGGCTATGAGTTGTGAAAAGCCTCATTTTTCTTGGGTGAAAACAAAAGCAAAATAGCATCTGCACTTTCTGTGGCTGGGCAGGGAGACTTATGTACCAACCACAGATCACCAGGGGTGGGAAAAACAGTGAGGCAGCATGACATCGAAAAGCTGGGGTCTGGTTCCACCTGGGGAAGAGAACCGGCCACCCCTGTGCAGGTGTTGTCAGGCCACGAGGGCTCTACTCTAAGTTCACCAGTACCGTGCCCCATGCTGCCAGAACAATCTGGGAAGCTGGAGAAGCTCTGGTAAGTGTGACAAGTGTAAGGACCTTGGTCCTGAGCCGGCTTGGATGGAGCATCATTCTGGGGGGATCAGAGTAGATGCCCTCCAGGTCCCCTTAGCACTCACGTTCTGTGAATCTAAGTAAGGTTAAGTTCCCCTTTGATTATTGAAGGTTGAAGATGTGGCTGGTACCTTTCAGGCATTGCAATGATGGTCAGGGATAGCAATAGTTTTCTTCATGTGTTAAAATATATAATTTACCCCTTGAACCAATTTTAAGTGAATAATTCAGCATCATTAAGTACATCTGTAATATTGTACAATAGCAATATGTTTTTAAGAGCACCTACTATGTGCCAAGTCTCTTGTTAGGCATTTCCATGTAGGTTACTTGTTTAATTCTCACCAAGCAAGAGAAAAACAAATCTTAAACTATATATTCGTTCTTATATTCACAGTGAGAAAATTGAGGCTTAGGGAGGTAGAGTGTTGGGACAAAGTCATGTGGCTACATGAAGACTCTAAACCAGATCTAAACCTCAATCTCTCTGACTCTGTAAGGACATATTTTTACTAGCTTGGCCACCCCCTGGGGCATCAGTGAGGCCTCACCTTGCGTCAGAGGCTCAGAATTGGCCACTAACCGTCCCATATGAAACATCACGGAGGATGGATACAACTTTTTTTTTTCCCCAGTTCCTATTCATTATGGCTGCACCTTGAACTAGGAGAGATCCCGAACTCATTTTTATTTTTACAACTCATGTTATCAAAATAACATTTCGGTGCACATCTAGTGAATCTGATGAATGATGCCAGCATTTTAGAAGTTCTTGGACAGAAGGCACATATTCTTATCTGACAAAGTCTTGCTCTGGGAGCATTCAGGACAGAAATGGATTCAGTTGCAGTGGATTCATTTTGGAGTAGGGGAGTTTATAGTACTGGTGGAGTGTAAGATTTATTGAAATGGAAAAACAATTACAAGGCACTCTGGCATAAGAGGTACTATTAATAGATAGGCTCCAAAGAAATTGCATTAGGCTCTGATACCTATGGATATTTATTCAGTGACCTTGAATTAAGAGCTTTTTTGGAAACTTATTCTACAAAAGAAACTCAAGGATGTAACAGATTAAGGCACCAGGGAGATCATGTAAATTCTGAGCCCAAAGGGAGCCCCTTCTACTGGGGCAGAGGAAACGGAAGCCCATGGTGGCTTCTTACTGTGTCTCACATCCTTGTTTTCTGGTGGGCTCCGGGGTGAGTCCACATGACAGGGTGGAGTACCCCATCAGATTTCTGATTTCCCAAATTTTAGGGTCCACAAAAATGTGATTTTCTTAAAATTGAGTGCTCTCAGCATGGATAAATCTGATAGAATCATCTTGTTCCACCCAACTTTATAGGCTTGTCCCACGTCTTCCACTGCCCTGAAGTTTTGTAGAACACATACTTGAAAGAGATATTTGGTTTCGAAATATTTTTGACACCCACAGATTTTTCTTGCAATGGCAACTATTATAAATGCCTGCTGATGAATTTTTGTTTTCTTTCTATAACATCTCTATGCTTTAAAATGGACATGGCACAAAGCCTCATCTCTGGGAGACATTTGCTCTGACTAAAAAGTACTAGAGAGCTTCCCAAGAAAGGCTGAGTGGGATGACTACAACAGTGGAGGGCTAATTTAAAAAAAAAATATTTATTTATGGGGGGGGGGGTAGGCAGAGACACAGGCAGAGGCAGAAGCAGGCTCCCTATGGGGAGCCTGACGAGGGACTCAATCCCAGGACCTGGGATCACGCTCTGAGCCCAAGGTAGACACTCAACTGCTGAGCCACCCAGGCGTCCCCGGAGGGCTAATGTTTAGACACTGTATACCAGGTTTATCCCTAAGACTAAATGCCCACCTCTCTCTCCTTCTGGAAATAAACATCATCACTGGGTGTCTCTCATGCCATACACAACTTCTCATCTACAAGATGGGATTCTCCCCAAGCTAAGGAGACTTGGAAATGTTGAAGTGTCCCTGTCAGTGCTACCGGTCTGCTTGGCTCTCACCAGCACGTGTGATGGCATCAGGGAGGAGGGCAGTTAGAGCTACCGAGAAGAAGGCTCATGCTCAACCACATTGAAGAAGAGGGAAACAGAATGGGTTTGGTCTTCAAAGGACCTTCTTCCAGAAAAGGATCACAATGAAACTGCAGGATTTATCAACAGACTAAGCCCCACGGTAGCTGGGAGACGGAGAATAATGAGGGCAGTAATACGGAGCTGCCATAAGGAGACCCTGCAGGATGCTGAGACCCAGGGCCCTGTGAACTGAAGAAAATGCCCTGGCTCAGAATCACCTGAGGATGTGGTTAAAGCTGCAGACTGTGTCTCAACAGGTCTGCAGGGGGGCTGGGAATCTTCATTTCTAATGGAGGCAGACTACTCCATGGGAAATGCTGGCTTGGGTAAAGGAAAACAGAGCCCTGTGAACTGAGGCCTACCAGCCTGTCAACTCTTCCAGGGCAAGGACTGTGTTTTATTCAACTGATGTGGTCTCTCGAGCACACAATCAGGCAGTGTAGACTACATGATAAATGTTTGCCGAATGAATGTATCCATTCACAATGAGTCTCCCAAGTCTTAGAGTTCAGCCAGAGGACAACTGACATGGTTGCAGAGGGAGAAACGCATCGAGGAAGCGTCCCCATCAGTAACTGTCTATTCTGTGGTCCTTGGGGAGGAAGGCGCACACATCTATGTGCTGGCTCCTGCCCCGTGTAAGGCTATGGGTTGTCACTAGTCCACTCTGCCTGCACCCCTTAACCTGCATTACAGTCCGTTGAGGGGTTCATTTCCATATGCATATACAGAAGTAAACAGCATTTCCAGCATTTTGCAAAGAGGCTCTCTTAGCAAAGCAGCGCTGGGGAAGAGTACCGAGTGTGCCAACCAAGAATCTGCTCTGCTCCATGAACACATCAGCTACAGCCTCTGAGCGCTGAATCTGTCCTCTCGTCCTCTGTTCACTGCCCCCTTCCTTATTCCCCTCTGCTGTCAGAAGGCCCCTGGCCAGCTCACCATCAACTTTCCGCAGTGGTCTCTTCTGGACTGCCTCCTAAGCTTCAGCAGAGGATGGACTTAGTCTCACTTTGGCTTTCTGGTACCTTTGAAGAAAGGTCCAGGTACCCTTCTGCTATTTTTCCTCTCCAGTGATCTCCTGCAGAGCTCCTCTTTTTTTTTTTTTTTTTTAAAGTGAGAGGTCTCCTGAGGTCCCTCTGGGGAAGGGACATTTTGGGCTGGCTCCCTTGCTGCTGGCTTTGTATGCTCGGGAGAGCACATGAGGCTCCTGTCTTGCTCTCATCGGTTTAATGTCTCAGGAGCTTGACTTCCGCTGGGGTAGGAGTCTGGTAGGAGCAGAGACAGAGGGAAGGGAAAGGGGAGGCCTTTCCTTATTTGTGTTTTGCCTTTTAGGGATTCTGCGGACATCATCTTTGCAGTAACTCATTCATTTTCTGAACCCGCCTTCCCTCCTACCTCTCTGATAGGGGTGCTATAAGTAAAGTATAAATATACTAGAGCAATATTGACTCATAGTAGATGCTTAATGACTCCTAGCAATGAATTTCACTATTACTTCTCTTACTATACATATTTTTCTTGTGTTTTTAAAAACTGTTTTTCAGACTTTGGGCTAAGCTAGTCTGTTTTTTTCTCTCTGGACCATTTTGTATTCATAATTTGGAGAAAGGTTCTAACCATCATTTCTGATGATAGCCTAAAATAATGAGAAATAAAAACCATAAACCGAAGATGAATGAAGTGTCAGGTAACACATGATACAGACCACAGACTGGCATTGCTTCCAGCTTCTCCCTCAACACCTGAGCAGGAGGAGATGGGCCATCTGGGTTCTCCAGAACCAGAGTGTCCCACCCTTTCTTACCACGTGACTTCGAGCATTCATTGTCTTTCTCCAGGTATCCATCAGTTTCCTGTCAGTAACCGAAGGAGGAACCTCAAGCCTCTGGGTCCTTTATCCCAGATATGTTACAGTTCCAAATTAAACATTTACTTGTTAAGAAGGTGCTCACTAAAATAAGCAGGCACTATTTTCTCTTCTTTCTTTTCCTCCTTCATGGAGAAGCTCTGCCTTCCCCTTGCAGCATCTTTGCCAACCTCCTCCCTCACAGGTCTGGGGCATATGGCGTACAGAGGAAGGATGTTTTTGTCCATGATCCTTTTACTCGGCCATTTGTGAATTACATCCCCATAGCACCTTCCCCAATGAGTTTGAAGGT